GTCTCTCGTACTTCTCAACATTTCAGGGTAAAGAATCAGAAGATGAGTTTTATATGTTCAGACACTACCATTTAGTTGTTGAGAATTCGTGTATAAGTTTTCATGCCAACATTGTTCCACTCAATAAAGTAGGTAATCTACATTTTAAGTATGAGCAAGAAACAAATCTCTGCCCTCCTCTCTACTACTGCACCTCATGTCCCCAAAAGGTAAGAACACTCTATTGGGATCCAGTGTCCAGGGCACAAAAGGGTCTCCTTTACTAGCAGGCAGGGTCACCGTGTTAAAAGGCTTAGCACACCATATGTCTCTCCTACCCTCAAAGGGCAGGACTGGTAAATTGATCCAGAACTAATTATCTGGGAATAGGTAGGTCTTCATTTAAAATTTTTTAAAAAGTTGAAGCTGGCACCTAAAAGCAGAACTGAGTTGAATGGCAAGATGAAGGCAAAAGATATAAAATCCAAAAATTACAGTAGTTTAAGATTATTCAGCATAGAAAACAAACTAAATAAGCTGAGAACTGCACAGTAAGTGCAGTCATGAGATAAAGGGAAAAAAGTTTCTAAATTACTTAATAAACTCAATTCATTTAATTTTTTTTTAAACTTTAGTCTTCAGGCACCTGAAAAATGATGTAAATACACCCCCACTACAAATAATTTCCAAGGCAAGATTTAGGTACTGCAAAGACAGTTCATAGATCATCCAGAGGTTCCTTTAATTCACAACCATCCCTGAAATTTGTGGTCTACCAGCTGCACTTTAGTATCGTCTAGGAAACTTTTTAAAAACAGGTTCTCAATTCTACCACAGATTTCCAGAGCTGGAGTCCCACAGTCGTGTCTTAAAGTACCCAAATGATTCTAACACAGGCCAGCCTAGCATCCATCTAGAGCAGTCTTTCTCAACCTCAACACTGTTAGTACCTGGGGATGAAGAATTCTGTTGTTGGGGGGGGGGGGGAGTCTCTTATACTATGTAGGCTGTTGAGCAGTGTCCTTGGCCTCTCCCCTCTAGACGCACACTGCCCATACCCAGAGATGTGACAAGCAAAAAAAAGTCTCTACGGAGGGTAATAAGTCTCTAGGGAAGTGGGACCATACCTATGGTGTATCTTCCAAGGGTACATGTGAAACTTACTAAATGTAGAATATAAATGTCTTAACACAATAACTAAGAAAATGCCATGAAGGCTATGTTAACCAGTTTGATGAAAATATTTCAAATTGTATATAAACCAGCACATTGTACCCCATAACTGCATTAATGTACACAGCTATGATTTAATTTAAAAAAAAAAAGTCTCTAGACACTGTTAAATGTTTGTGGGGGAGGGCTCACCCTCAGCTAAGCATCCCAAATCTAGAATAAATCAAAATCCAATCATCATAAGTTTTCTGAAGGAAAGAAGCTAAGTGTGGTGGCTCATGCATGTAATCTCAGCAACACTGGAGACTGAGGTGATAAGACTGCTTAAGATGGGAGTTCGAGACTAGCCCAGACAAGATAGCATAACTAACTACATCTCTAGAAAAATAAAAAATATTAGCCAGGATGTGGTAGCACATGCTGTAGCTGTAGTTCTAGCTGCTTGTAAAGCACAGGCAGGTGGATCACCTGAACCCAGAAGTTCAAGGCTACAGTCAGCTGATTCCCATTGCCCTCCTGCCTGGGTGACAGAGTCTGTATCACTTAAAAAAAGGGGAGGGGGGGGATACTGAAAGCTGCTTAAAACTAAGAGGCCAGGTCTATTTTTCAGTACATCCTGAGGAAAAGCAGCTGACACTGCTCAGCCAATGGGGCTCAGATCTTGACTTAAGGACCAAACCAGCCTCTTCTGCTTTTTATAATAAACTCAATGCAGAACTTCAGTTGTGCAGACAGAAGAGCTTCATTTCCACTATCATTTATTTACTCTTAAGTGTAATAACATCCTGTAAACATATACATATACACACACACACACACACACACACACACAGTGACACAGAGGCTGCCTCTCAAATATCAAAAACATAAAACTGCAAGATACAAGTTCATCACAGAAACAAACTGAATACTGATCCTGACAAACACCGCTTAAAGGAAGAGATGTTTACTTGTAATAAGCCCATTATCTTTGTACCAAACAGATGCAAAAACTTACCTTAAAAACCTAAGCAACTGGCTCGGTGCCCGCAGCACAACGATTACAGCACCAGCCACATACACCACGGCTGGTGGGTTCAAACCCGGCCCAGGCCAGCTAAACAATAATGACAACTGCAATAAAAAGTAGCTGGGTGTTGTGGCAGGCGCCTGTAGTCCCAGCTACTTGGAAGGCTGAGGTAAGAGAATCACTTAAGCCCAAGAGTTTGAGGTTGCTATGAGCTGTGATGCCACAGCACTCTACCGAGGGCAACATAGTGAGAATCTGTCTCCAAAAAAAAAAAAAAAAACAAACTAAGCAACCTCATCCTATCTTAATTTTACTAATATTCCTTTTCTGCTTAAATATGGTCTGATTCTCAAATTCTAAATAGTAGATTGAAACTAGCAAGATTTTGCTTTAGTTTGTTTGCTATGCTTTACATTAAAGTCCTCTAAACCCAAAACAATTCTTTTTCCATCTTTGAGTAAGTTCCTCTAGCAAGATGCTCATCTTTACTTAACTCTACCAAAATACACCTCCCAGAGCAACCAAGCAAGCCAGGTTCAAGCAAATAGAGTAATATTAAGGAAAGGACAACAGAGAAGGCATTAAGAGACTGAGTTTATATAGGACCGAGTGAATGGTACTCGGTTAAATATGCTTAACTCCCAGACCAGAGGCACTGAAGTGCAGAAGAGCTTCCAAAGCATTCATCCAGGACAACAGCTATTTCCCAAACAATCTTTGCTGAAGTATATAGCAATACACAGTATCCGCTCAATCTTCAATAACAACCAGGAGTACACTAGGAACCCCTGAAGTTATGGATTTCGGGGGCCAATCAAACCCAAGAAGCAGTATCCCAAAATATATAAGAAACAGAGTCCTACATACACTCCTGATGGGCTTTTCTGTATTTAACCACTCCTTTAAAAAAACTTTCTGAGGTACCACCTCTAATTAACTACTCTAGCAAACATATGTAATTTAACGAATCTTCAACAATCCCTGTCCTAAAAAATTAAAGTAACCTCCAGTTTACTTTTTCAGCCCAACTAACTCTTACATACACAAAGCTTTCTCAAGAATCACCAAGATACAGAGCTTACACTCACTTGACTTCCCGATTAATATGTAAACACTTAAAATCAAATTTAAATTAATAATAATAGCCACTCATTACTGAGCTGATTCTATGTGCCCAGCACGGCTCTAGCTGCGTTAATGTATTAATTCATCTGTCCCCACAAACTTATGGGGTAGTCGCTGTCATCATTCCCACATTACTCAGAAAGCAGGGACACTGAGTAACTTGCCCAAGGTCACAGAACTACAAAGTGGTCAAACCAAGATTTGAACCCACACATTCTTAACTCCAGAGTAAAGAAAACTCCAGCACCACCACCACCAATGGGTGGGTCTGACACATTTTGCTGAGGCACATTTCAATGGTTGAAAATCTGGAGTCCCTTTCCCACTGGATGCCTATCTGCAACATGACCTTGAAGACAAAATCAAAGTAAACTTCACATTAGGAAAGCGGAACAATATCAATATTAACAAGTGTTGTAAGGCTGAAAGGAAACAACTACTAAGTGCCCTCTCCTGTAAAAGCAAAACATAAACAAAGCTCTATCCCTCCCCACAAAGAAAATGTTAAGTACCAGGAAAATGATATTAAGTCATGAGGTTGAAACCTCAGGTTCAAAGCCAGGGCTGAGAGATTCCTCCAAGGACTCATTTCGTCCACCTACAACTACAGGTCCACAGCATGTGTGATGAAAGCAATGAAGCCCTCGGGAGGAAACACCTCCAAGTTAAGACAGAAAAGGCTTCTTTAAGAGGGAGGTACTTTAAGCCACAAGAAGGACCACCTCTCTGGCTCAAACACACCGGAGAGGCATTTGAGACCGAGCCTACGTCCGAGCCACAACACTGGAGTTAAGAGATCACTGGGAAGGCTACTGAAAGACTCCGAACTAGTTGGTGTGTACTCTGATGACTCTGCGGCGAATTAACAGAAACCCACAAAACTTGTTTCCCGGAGAAGAACCCAACAATGGCCTTTGCAAATCTCTACTGCGAGTTGCTGCCTCAACTTGACACGCTCCCCAAGGCCCCTGGGAGAAGTTGTCCGGCGGAGCCCGCAGGGCGGGAGCGGGGCCCGGGCGGTGGAAGACGCTGCGGGCTGGGGCTGGCGGGGCGGGAGGTCTGGGGCTGAAGCCGGAGCCCCGGCAGGGGCGCGTCTCTCCCGCCCGCGCCGCCGCCGCGCCAGGCCCTGACCGTCAACGCGGCGCAAAGTTCGCTGCCGGGATCGCGTCCCACCGCCGGCGCCGAGTCCGGAGGGGCCCCCGGCTGACAGGAACAAGCCAGGAGCGACTGGGCAGGACTCGGTGCCGCGCCTCCCGGGCCCGCGGAGCAGCGAATTCCGGGGGGGAGGGGAGAGGGGCCGGAACGCTCTCTCCCCTTGCCGCCGAGGCCCCGGCGGAGCGGCCTAGCCGGCCGCCCGCCTGCCTGCCCGCGCGCCCCGCGCGCCCCGCGCTGCAGCCTGCCCCGCCGCCCTCCCCCCATTACCTGGAGGTCCCCACGACCCGCCGCTAGTTGCGCTCAAGCGGGAAACTCGCTCACCGACACCATCAGCGAAGCGCCCAAAATGGCGGACGTATCAAGCAGGCCTTGAGTTCCCCCCACCCTCCCTCTGGCCGCCTCGCAGCCAATCGTGACTCTGTCCCTGCCCCCAGCTCCACGCTTATTGGCCTTCCTCGTCCACCCCCTGCAACCTATTGGATCGCCTAGCGGCTCCTTTGCATTCACTCCGATTGGCCCACAGACCTAATCAGTCAAGTGCAAGGGGCGCGTTCTTTTCCCAGGGAGTTGATGGATCCGGAACCTCTAGGACCCAGAGCCTGAGAAACAAATCAGAAATCGGGAGAAACCTAGCTGGGTTCCCCTACGCCGTAGCAACAGCAGGGCCTCTTTAACGGGCGCTTCAAACCACCAATCCGAGCGGCCTATGCTTTTTCAGCTGTATAGAGCCAAACCAATCATAGCCATGGAGCTGGAGCTGCAAGCGAACCAATGGTGTAGCGGGACGACCAACCCGGCAGGGCAAAGGGCCGCCAGGAAACCGGTGATGACGTGTGCCACAATGTGTGCCGGCGGCGGAAGCTGGAATAGACTGGGGAATTAGCTTAACTGGTTGGACGCTTGCTTAGCATGTATAAGGTAAGAGGATCGATTCCCGAATTCTCCGTGCCTGAATTTTACAGGAGGGGTTCGCTTACCGAACAACTCGGTGACTGCCCCAGAAGTAGGGTCAAGGTGAGAAGTCCCTAAGTGACCCACAACCAGAAAGGAATAGAAATGCCCTTGTGTGCGGGAGAGGGGCCTCCCTTTTGTCTTTGGCGCTTAAGATTTACACCCCAGCTCCGTAATGCGCGCCTGGGCTCCCTCCCCGCGGCAGCCGGCCGGGGTCGCTGATATAGCCCACTGTATGCCTCCCTGCTGATAACCTGCTTTATTCCCACATGGAATCGTAGCGCTTCCTAGAGTCCCATGAAAATCAACACGGGCGCAGAAGTTAGAAGTGGGCGAGGAAAAGGACAAACCCTGGCAAGCCTGCGGCGACACGGTGACAACGAAGCCGTAGTCCAGGTTACTGCAGAATCGCACGCGGGGGCTGCGCCTGAGCTGTCGACGGACGGAGGGCCGCCCTTTACTGAGCAGTCGCTTTGAGCCCACAGGGCGACCAGCCTCTGAGGTTCTGTTGGGGGTCCATCCGTACACATCTGGGGAACGTCGAGTGACAATAAACTGAACGGTCGTTTTACTTGCCCCTCATTCCCCCAGAACAGAGACGATGGAGCTGTGAGCTCTTGGACATCCGAGGGGGAAACTGGCCCCAGACCCTAAGATGGGGCTTTGAGGCACTCAGGAGGCGGGCGTAGCTGGGGCATGCTGAGACAGAAGGTGCAGAGGTGACTGAGTCATGCAGAGCCTTGAGGGACAGTGTCACCATGCCAGTCCCAGGTGCTCAGACCTCCGAAGAGGGCCCCTTACAAGAGAGCTCTCAGGACTCTCAGGCTCGCTGCAGTGGTGCTGACTTGGTCAGGGATAGTCACTGCCGCTCCAAGACAACACAGTGTGGTTACTGTATGGTTTCTCCAGACTCCTGGGGAAAGTGGCACAGCTTGGCCCCTGGGGGTGGGGATGCACCTGCCGAGGTGGACACCTGGCTGCCTCCCAGATACTTACCATCTCTCTGCACCTCCACCCCGTACCCTTTGCACAGCTGGCCTGAACTGTCTCCACCTCACTGACAGCCTGGGGAGCTGGGTCTCAGGGCATGTAAACCTACCCCTGCCCTGAGCAGAGACTGTTACTGGAGGAGACTAGAACTGTGGTCCCCAAACCCCAGTCCTCCTAGGCAGCCTATTAGGAACCGGTGGGGCTTCACCCCACCTCCAATCTCCAGCCCTTGGTGGTGGAAAAATTGTTTTCTGTGAAACTTAGGAACCAGGTGGCATAGGAGAAGGTGACCAGCTGAGGGAGGGAAGTTTCATCTGTATTTACAGCTGCTCCCCAATACTGCCTGAGCTTCCCCCCCACCAAAGAAAAAAATTGTCTTCCATGAAAATGGGTTATGGTACCAAAATGGTTGGAACAGCTTCTTTAGAAGGAATTCATGATCAGTAATTCCAGAAGAGCATTATCATTCCCATTCTACAGATTAGGTAACTGAGGCCCAGAAAGCATTCAGATGTCAGGTGCAGGCCATGCAGGGCTGGGAACCTGCAGCCTTCTGATTTCAACATTGTTCTTTTTGGGCAGCCTGTGGCTCAAAGGAGTAGGGCAGCCCCATATGCCGGAGGTGGCAGGTTCAAACCCAGCCCCGGCCGAAAAAAAAAGATTGTTCTTTTTAAAGCACCAAAGGATGCAAAAAAGTTTTTATTTTTCTTTGCTGCATGCAAAGACTGTCTCAAAAAAAGGGATGGGTCCCACTTGATGCTTTTTTTTTTTTTTTTTTGAGACAGAGTCTCACTTTGGCACCCTTGGTAGAGTGCTGTGGTGTCACAGCTCACAGCAACCTCAAACTCCTGGGCTTATGTGATTCTCTTCCCTCAGCCTCCCAGTAGCTGGGACTACAGGCACCTGCCACAATGCCCAGCTATTTTTAGAGACATGGTCTTGCTCTGGCTCAGGCAATCCACCACCTCAGCCTCCCAGAGTGCTAGGATTATAAACATGAACCACCTTTCTGGGCCCTGCTGTGCCCCTTTTAATAAAAGGATTTGTTCTATAAAGTTTAGATTCAGGCAAAAGGCCACATTAGGCCTTAAGGCCTCAGATTTCCCACAGCACTCTGACGATTTTTTTTTTTTTTTTTTTAAGAAAAGAGTCTCACTTGATCACCCTTGGTACAGTGCCGTGAAGTCTTAGCTCACAACAACCTCAAACTCTTGGGTTCAAGTGATCCTCTTGCTTCAGCCTCCCAAGTAGCTGGGGCTGCAGGTGCCTGCCACAACACCTGGCTATTTTTTAGAGACAGGGGTCTTGCTCAGCTGGTCTGAAACTCATGAGCTCAGGTAATACACCCACCTTGGCCTCCTAAATGCTGGGATTACAGGTGTGAGCCACCATGCCCAGCCATATCTGATCCTCTTGTATCCACAGGTCCCACATCAATGGATTCACCCAACCTCCAGAATCAAAAATATTTGAAAAAAGGGCCAATGATGCATTTCTGAGAACATATCCCTAGCATTAAGTGACACGTGACTGCACTATGCCACTTTATATAAGGAACTTGAGCAAACTTGGGGGGGGGGGCTAGAACCAATCTCCTGGGGATACTGAGGGATGACTATGCCTACCAAGCTGTGCTAATGCCTTGAAAGGTACTGGACCTCTGGGGACAAAGCATTGAGGGCAGATGTTACTCATATTGATCTGTTGCTCAGAGAGCAGGGCATGGGGGCTCCCACCTGTAATCCTGGCACTCTGGGAGGCAGAAGCGGAGGATCCCTTGAGCTCAGGAGTTTAAGACCAGCCTGAGCAAGAATGAGACACACACACACCCCCCATCTCTGAAAATAACTGGCAGGCACCTGTAGTCCCAGCTGCTTGGGAGGCTGAGGCAGGAGGATCACTTGAGCCCGAGATGAGGTTGCTGCAAACTATGATGACACTAGGGCATTCTAGCCTCAGTGACAGAGTCAGACTGTCTTAAAAAAAAAAAAAAGAGAGAAGCTAGAAGCCACACAGCTAGTGAGGAACATAAGCAAGGTTGAAACCAGTTCAGGAGGTACCAGAGGCAAATACCCTGGGGCAGGGCTGGAGTCGGGTATGCCAGGGAGAGGGAACTGCAGGAGCAGGAGGGAGTGAGCACACCCCGTGAAGAACACAGTGGGGGTGCTTAGAGAGGAGAGAACACAAGGTCAGGAGGGAATCACCCAGGCCTCAAAGACAGGCAAAGGGACTTGGGGTTTATGCTTAGATAGCAGGAACCAGGAAAAGCTTCCTAGAAGAAAAGGGCTGCCTGTCCTCAGGACAGACTGAAGCAAGAGCTGCGAGCCACGGAAGTAGTACAGACTCAGGAAGGCTAAGCTAGACTGAGGAGCCCAGGGGACTTCCTGCAGCAAGAGGCTTTAAGCAGGGAATGATTTGGAAGCTTTGCTTTCTAACTGACCACTCCATCCTAAAACTTCTAGACTTCATACATCACCACCTTCTCCCTTTTCTCCCTAATTTTTTCTGGTTTAATTTTTAATGTTTAACTTTTAAATCCGACTCAAAAAAAAAAAAACACGTATTTTCAAATGTACTTAGAAGAGCATGATGAATGCCCATGTACCCATCGCCTGCCTCTTATGTCTTTAGCTCTGGGAACAGACACACAGCCGCCAAATTTTATTTCTATCAAAGAATGATTTTTTAAAAAAAAAAAAGCATTTACTATTATAATTTCATAAAAGAAAGGACTTTTTTTTCTGAGACAGTCTCAGTATGTCACCCTCGGTAGAGTGCCATAGCGTCACAGCTCACAGCAACCTCCAACTCTTGGGCTTAAGTGATTCTCTTGCCTCAGTCTCCCAAGTAGCTGGGACAACAGGCACCCACTACAACGCCCGGCTATTTTTTGGTTGCAGTTGTCATTGTTTAGCTGGCCTGGGCCAGGTTTGAACCCGCCAGCCTGAATGTAAGTGGCCAACGCCCTACACACTAAGTTACCTGCGCCGCCAAGAGAGGACATTTTAACATACACATGTATACTCAGACAGGAGAGACTAACTCTGAATAAAGAAGACCTTAAATTGAAGAAGTTCAACTTGAAGAAAAAGATGCATTGTCATTCTTCTTATTACATCACCAGCGCACAGTCCATCCCAGTCTGGCACTGACCCATGGGCTGGAGTGGGGTCACCCTGGCACAGGGCATGCCAGGAAGGGTTTAGCTGGCATCAGGAACCCAGCTTGCAGACTGGTGCTGGGTCAGATCAAGAGGCGAGGAGGCTGGAAAGAAGTGGCCAGGTGTGGAGAGGTCGATCTACCTTAACATGGACATTTAACTCTCCTGTTTCTCTTCCCTTTCTCCAGTGCATTCAGATTCGGTCCCCAGGGTGGGGAGGGGTATTTCCTTCCCACCTGTGGGTTGTTGTAAGCCAAGTGTCACTACAAAGTACAATGCTGCATTGCTAACAACATCAGGCATACAGGGAAGAAGACACGTGGACATCTGGATGGGGAGAAAGAGGTAGAGCTGTGGGAATCCGAGAGAAACCACAGAGAAGACAGCGAGGGGGTTCCTCGGTGGGGCCACAGCCTCTGACAAGGGGTCCTCATATGGTGAAGAGCCATGTGGCCCATGAGAAAGCCCTGCAGGGGGCTGAGTGGGATCCAAGACCCCAACTAATTTCCTGACAGCCCAGATTTCTCAGGGACAAGCCCTTCCACAGTGGCCACACCCAGGTCCCTGGTGGCCTCCCTGGCAGTAGAAATACCCAAGACCTGGCCACATGGACCTTTGCTCAATAGTTCAGGGAAGCAGGCAGGAAGCACCCACACCCATCCTGGAAGAGGGTGAGCTGAGCTGAGCAGAGGGCACCTTCTGGTAGGGTTGGCAGGGAGGGAGCCCATTATACAAGAGAGACCCCACAGGGCTCAGTGAGGGGTGACATCTGGAGGAAAGGTAGAAGCCTTTCTGGCCTCATTGAGTAGCACCTGGCAGGCAGTAATGTTTATTGGATAAAGGAATGATTAAACAAATGAATAAAACACTTCTAGCCTTATCTCTTTTTACCCAAGCCTCAGTTTACCTAGCTGGGGCTGTTATGAAGTGTAAATAAGCCAGGTTAATTTCACCCCCTCATTTAAGACACGACTCAGACATGGCCTCCTCCAGAAAGCCCTTCCTGCCTTCCCAGCTAAAAACAATGCCCCTTCTCTGGGTTCCAGGGTATCCTGGTGCTATGCTTCTCCATGGCTTTGGAAACCCCCATGTCACTGGGTTTGGAGCAACTTCAAGGGAAAGGTAACACCCAACTTAGATGCTGGTAGCTTAGATGCAGAAGTTTATTGGAAACTAACGGATTTATTTGGCATGCTGTAGGCAGCTAGCAGATGGGCAGGAAAGGGGACAGCAGAGAAGCCTCTGCCCATCAGACAGCACCCAGCCATGTGGCTCTAGGCTCTAGGGAAGGAGAGGCAGAGCTATGGAGGGTACCAGGAGTCAGCAGCCCAGGCCACTCCTTCCCTGATCCCTAGCAGGCCTTCTCAGACTGGATGGCTGGCTGGGCAGACAGAGGAGGGGTGCTCCCAGCCCCCACC